GCTCACCACTACTCATCCAAAACCCCAAGACAAAACTGAAACGCTAAGATGTCTGGCGGCCACTTCACTTTCAATTACCACGTATCTTTCAAAAACACTGAACAAAAATGGAACTTTTTTTTTCAATCTCAGAGCTCCAACCCATGTTAGGCAAACATTCTACCAGTGAGCTACATCCCTAGCCCAGAACATTCTTTTATTGGAGTGATTTAAGAGATTAAATAAATGATACAAAGTTGAACAGTAGTATTGCTCGGTACAAATTTTCAGACATAATGCTGTCGTTGTAGAATCATGTTTCTCTGAATCTTTTAATAAAAAACATTTTACACATATTTTTCACAATATTCCTTTTTCAGTTATACTAAAAAGTGTTTCCAACTGGAGACTGTCTTCAAATTTGTCACTATAAGTGTTTCTTTCTTTTAGATTTATTTATGTATACGGGTGTTTTGCCCATATGTATGTAAGTGTACCACGTGTGCCTGATGCCAACAGAGGACAAAAAAAACATCAGATCCCCTCAAACTGGACTTGTATGGTTGTGAGCCATCACACGCTAGGAACTGAATCCAAGCATCTAAGAGCAGACAGTGCTCTTAACTACTGAGCCATCTCTCCAGCCCTGTCACTATAAACTTTTGTGTACAATTTTTTTTTGAGACAGGGTCTCACGTAAAACAGGTTAACCTTGAACTCCTCATATAGCCTTGAACTTCGGATCCTCCCATCTCCAATTCCCAAGTGTTAAGATTATAGTGTGACACTAAGCCCAGTTTATGGAGTACTGGAACCCAGAGCCTCATGCATGCTAAGCAAGCACTCTACCATCCCCAGGCCTATGTGCAACGTTTACTAATGAAAAATTATTTTGTAAATTCTTGCTCATACTAAAAAGTTTTAAAATATTTTGAACTTGTTTCTCTTCAAGAATAACTCAGGGAGGGGGCTGGAGAGCTGGCTCAGAGGTCAAGAACACTGCTCTAGTAGAGGACCAAGGTTTGATTCCCAGCACCCACATGGCTGCTAACCATCAGTGTGTAACTGCAGTTGCAGGGAATCCAACACCCTCTTCTGACTTCTGGGTGCACTTACATACATGCAGGCAATACACTCATACATATAAAATAAAAATAATAAATCAATTGTAGCCAGGCGTGGTGGCACATGCCTTTAATCCCAGCATTCAGAAGGCAGAGGCAGGCAGATCTCTGTGAGTTCAAGGCCAGCCTGGTCTACATAGCAAGTTTCAGGCCAGCTGGAGCTACACAGAGACCCTGCCTCAAGAAAACAAAAACTTTTTAAAAATAATAACAATAAATAAATTTTAAAAAGAGCAACGTCGGGGGCTCAGCAGATTGCATGCTTAACACTCATAAAGTCCTAGGTTTTACTCCAGAACCCATAAATAAATTACGGCCAGCAAGATGGCTCAGCAAAAAAAAAAAAAAAAAAAAAAAGCGTGCTTGCTGTCTGATGACGCAGGCCTGGAAACCTGAACTCAATCTCTAGAATCCACATCCAAGTAGAAGCAGAGAACCACCAGCACAAAGTTGTCCTCTGACTCCCCCCCCACCCATGGCATGCTATGACACTTGGGCCTACACACATATATACACACATAATAAATAATTTTTAATCAAGTTTAAGCCTGATTTTTTATTTAAACTGTGCTTTATTTTGTATTTACATGTGGAGGTCAGAAGACAACTTTTACGGTCTGTTCTCTCCTTTCACCATGTCAGTGCTGGAGATCAAACTCAGGTCATCAGGACTGGGGCAAGCACTTTTACCCACTGAGCCATCTCAATAGCCCCAAGCCTGATTTTCTTTAAAAGGGGATCAACATTTTTCTTTCAGAATAAAAAGATAAATGAATAACATTTTTAAAGGGAAAAAAAAACAGAAAAAAGTTCTGATGCTATACTGTACAGCAGAATAACTGTAGACAGTAAGATACTGTACATCTTAAATATGCTATAAATAAGAATTCTGAATGCTTCCAATACAAAAGAAATGATAAATGTTTGAGGAGATATATGTTTACCCTGATTTAAACAGTATACAATGTATACATGGATCAAAGCACCACTTAACACCACACAATATGTAAATCTTCATGCATCAGTTAAAAATAAAAGATAAAAACTCAGACATAGCTTACATTTCTACATTATCTAAATTTATACTATATAACATAGCCTAAATTAAAGTCTTATTTGAAGAGTAGCTGTGAAAGGTTCTGTAAAATAACATTAAATCATAAGCAAAGGCTTTTCTACTGATAGTTACTTCTTCCAATGTTTATTCTACAGACCTAACAATTTGTTGGCTATATACATTACATACACTAGAATCAGTTCTCTTTAACATGCCTGTATGATTTTTCTTGCTCCCTAAAATAGCATTATTCGTTTGTCTGAGCCTACCAAAATAAAATCTGAATAGAGATGAACTGTAATTTACCATGATCAGAGTGTAAAATCCTTTACTATGCAAATCTGCTTCACAGTTGAGAACCATCACTAAAACCTTTTGTTCTTTCAAATTGCTGATTAGTAATGAAAAGAAAACTAAACCCACTACAGGCCCACAGGAGAGGGGGTGTTTAGTGTAAAGCCACACATCTGGACCAGACACCTGATCCAAGAAAAAAAAAAAAGAAAGAAAACCTATTATGGTTTCTTTTACATGTGATATGGTGGTTTGTGTGGAATATTTATTCTTCGTGTTTTTTTAAAAATTGTGTACTTAGCCAGGTGTAGTGGCCCTCATCTTTAATACCAACACTCAAGAGGCAGAGGCAGGCAGATCTCTGTGAGAGCAAGGCCAGCCTGCCCTCCACATCCAGTTGTTCAGGCCAGGATGACCAAAAAAAAAAAACTGTCTACTCTGAAGATCCACAAACTGATCTTACTTTACTAAAGAAGCATTATTTATTCTAATTAACAAATTTCACTCAAGAAGGAAGTGTACTTCAATCAAGAACTTTATTAGACATTCAAAAATAAATAGAAGCAAGAATGGTTTTTTTGATGTAAGCCCAGCTATTCAAATGTAATTCAGAAGCAGAATTTTTAACTTTTCTCAAAAGTTGCCTTGCCAAAGAAACTTACTTTAAATTTTTTAATTTAAACACATCTTTGAAATTCTAAATGTTATATATTACAAAGTTGGCATGAAGATTAAGGGGAAAAAATCCGTCTCACAATTATTTTGTAACGACATTGCCCAAATAGTAACACTGGATATGCTTTCTGCAAATGTATCTGAGAAGATTCTCACTGAAACACCAGGATAACAAGTGGAGTGGAGACTCCAAAAACAAAACACAAAGCCAATTACAGTACCTCAGGCTCTGACCTGCACTGAGGACACCTGGTAATTAACTAAAAGCAGCAACAGAGACAAACTGAGAACCCTTGTCCTGCAGTTATTACAAAAGAACATTACCTGAAATGGTAATAACGATCGTTTAAACTTGGATAGTACTTTGTCATTTTCAGGGTAGTTTATATAAAAATACTTTATAAGGCTGTGTTTTGTTTTTCCTCTTATTAGCACACACACTAGCTATTTTTGACCCTAGAGTTCGTCAGTCGACCATTATCAAATTATAATACAACGTGAAGAAGGGTGAGCAATACTTCAAATCTTACAGGGTGGTGGCTGATAATCTTTTCAAAAAAAGCTCCGTTACAATCCTAAGATCCCTCTTTTGGACAGTTTGACAATCTTTACCGTCTAAGGTAGGCTGTAGGATCTTTCTAGATACGGAACCTTGGGAAAGGGAATTTCTCCTAGCATGGGACAGAGGGAATGGTTTAAACCAATCCTTTGCAGGCAGGAAGCTGGTTCTACTGCCCTGCTGTCCAAGCAGGTCTGCCCTCCAGCAACGAAGGAAAGATGTTGTCTTTTACTATGATAACAAGCAGTGTTCTCCCTCAACTCCCAGGAAACCAATGGTTCAGGCCCAGGTCTGTATCACTCCGTATTCTGTTTCTGATAATCTAGGTTGTTGATAACCCCTAGCACGCAATCATTTGATAGAGGATGAAAGGAGGACATAAGAATACTCAAGACTGGGGCTGAAGAGATGGCTCAGCGGAACCCGGGTTCGAATCCCAGCACCCACATGGCGACTAAGAACCATCCATACTCTAGTTCCAGGGGACTCCGATGCCCTCTTCTGACCTCCAAGGCATTGCACGACACAGGTGCACTCACATACATGCAGGCAATGCACTTGTACACATAAAACTAAAAATAAGTATTTTTTAAAAAGACTACTCAAGACTTTTTTTTTACTAAGAAAGAAAAAGAAATACCCAAGATATCCAGGAGGCAAGGGAGACAGGCACCAGAAAACTCGACTTAACGCTAGTGAACAGTTGATCTCAAGCGTCCACCTTCGGGAAGGAGGTGCTGAATTCAGAGTGTGACAGTGTGGATCGAGCAAGGGTCAGGAAATCCCCAGGTGAGAGACAGGGACCTGAGCTTCGCGGAGAGGCCAGCGGGCTGGCTGGTCCCGCAGACGGAGGTCGAGACGTGCAGGGAGTAAGACCCGGGGCCAACCAGGACCCTACCGCTCGGGCTTCCCCGCGAGCTTTCAAACCGCCGCCCCGGGAAGGCACTCCGCGGATTGGAAGTTCCACAACGACCGTCACCAGTCCAGGACCAAGGCGGATGACTCCTCAGCGGAGTGTCCCCAGAGACCAGACCCCCAACTCCACCTCCAGGCGCGGTCTCCGCCCGGGTCCCGCCCGCTGCGAGCACGCGAAGGCGACTCACAGCGGGACCAACACCCCCGACCAGGCTGCTCCGCGGGACTTTGAGGGGCGCAACGGGGTGGGGGGGGCAGCCCGCAAGAAGCGAGTCGATGGCGGGACGCCGCCCCAGGACCCCCACCGCCCGGCCCCCTGGGCTCCGACCCACCCAGCGCAAAGGGTCGCCGCAGGGGCGAGGACCGGGCAAGCCCACTCCCCCGCCCGCGCTCTTACCCATCTTTCCGCCTCGCCTTGTAGACGTGCCCGTAGGTGCCGCGTCCCACTTTGCACCCTTCGTACTCAAACAGATCCTCCACCCGCTCCCGCTCAGCCGCCAGCTTCGCCTTGAAATCATAATCCATTGTCTGCTTCCCCCATAGAGGCACCGGGACGCGGGGGCCGCCGCCACTCAGTCCCTCCTCCGCCGCCGCCGCTCCACTTCTCCAGCAGCCGCCGCTCGGGCGCGCGCGCGCCACCCGCCGCTCCGCGGTCCGCCTTCAGCAAGGGACTCCGCGGCGGCCGCGGCAGCCACCTCCTCCTCCGCCTCCTCCTCCTCCTCCTCCTCCGCGGCAGCGGCGGCGGCGGCTCCCGCAGGCACTCACAGTCCCTCCTCCCCCTTTCATTTCCTTGTTTTGGAACCTGGTGGGCCGCGCCGCGGCTTTCTCGAACTCATTAACGAGCCGAGCCGCCCGCCCTGAGGCCGCGAAGGCTCCTGGGAAATGGAGTCCAGGAGTCCACAGCAGCCTGCGGATTCCGCCAGCGCGAGGAATACAACTCCCAGGATTCTGCGGTCTGCCGCGGCCTCGCCTCCACAAAGCATATGCGCATGCGCACTTCCACAGCACCACCCCTTCAGGTAGCGCGCGACTCCCAGTTCCTGTAAGATAACGCAAAGTTACGGTGCACTTTCTGCGCGCCTGTGAGAGCTGGTAGACGGAAAACCCTTGCTCTGCTGAGAAAGAGGCACTCGGCTCTGACTGTCCCCGGCCAGGAATGCGGGAAGCATGTTACCAGAGGGACTCAGCCAGGAGTTCACTCCAGCGCGGCGAGAGTCGAGGATGGCTTAGGCAGTTGTACTACAGATTGTATTTTGGGGCAATAGATACGCATGTTACCCCGCCCCTTGCCACTGCTTATTGGCAGAGACTGAAGAATGACGTCCTCTTTGGTGCGTGGGTATGATACCCCCCCCCACTCACCCCCACCCCCCGCCTTGGCTTCTTTCCCGCTCTTGATTGGTAATTGGATATGCTCGGTTCTTCCTGATAGGTTAATCTTTTTTCTTTACGATGCAAGAACCGTTTTTCAAAACCTGAACATTCAGCGGTTTCCTAGCTCTTGCGAGGGGAACCGTGTAACTTCTGAGCGCCCAGCAGCCAATCATCTTTTTCTTGGCTCTCTAGTCGGTTTTCGCCTAGCATATGCAGTTGCAGTAGCCAAGCTTTAACCATCTGTCTGAAGACAATTAAAGTGCCTGGAAGATTCAGCGTTTAAAAAACAGTCATTTTTGGTGGATTGTTAGGGCTTTTACAGTTTATGCATAATGGTGAGGCTCACCGAGAAGGTTCAAGGACAAGCACTGATTCGTTATGAGGTTGGGGCTCAGGACACAGTACCTCAGAATACGACTGTGGGAGTCTAGAGTGTACCACGCTAAAAATATACCCCTCTGGCATATTGATTACTTTAAAAGAAATTGAGAGCCATCCAACATAAGAAAGCTTCTCGGCTCCCGCTGCCTAAAATAAAATATGGAAAAAAATGTTTTGAAAAGGGAAATATTTACAAAGAAAAATTTTCTGTCTGTATCCAAAAAAAGAAAAAAGATCTGCATCAGGAAGGCAACTATTCCTACACTATATTATCGTCGAAGGGTCTATCTGAACGTGGAAGCAACTTTATTCACTTTATATCTCCTTCCCTTCATTTGTCTCCATTATCGCCTAAAATTTCAAGTCCTAGTTCCTTTCTCTATGCCATAAGCTTCAAATCATCTGGCCTTTCGTTGCGTTTCATTTTGTAGGACCCTCCTGCATAGTGGCACAGTTGGAGTCTCTGCTACTCTGGGCGGTGAGGCAAGGGGAATCTCTTGAACCCAGGAATTTGAAGTCAGTGTGTAGTTCTGTTAATCTTGTTTCTGTCAATTTAATTTGCACACTAATCTAGAAGGTTAGAGGAAAGTTATTTTGTCCTACCCCATAATGGCAGGCCTGATATCTCAGGTGCTGAGACACAAAAGTAAACATGGCTGGTGCTAGGATAGTATTTATATGTAACATTCGGTGAAAGAAGAAAAAGGAGATGGTCCATTCCACCTAAACTAATATGGATAGTGAACTATATAGAACAGTACATTGCCTACTAGGTTTTCAGAGAAACTTGAAAAACTAGAGAGGGGATTTTTTGTTTTTTCCTACAAAAGCACTTTCTGAGTAACTTCCTCAAATCTTGAAAGAGTCTTCAATCAAGAACCTTGAGTTGCTGCTCAGGATGTCATTTGGAGGAGTTCTTACCTAGCACAAAGCCCTAGGTTCAGTCCCCAGCACCAAGACATAAAACAAGACATGGTGGTATACACCTGTAATCCCCACACTCCGGAGGTGGAGGCAGGAGGATCAGAATTCAAGGTCATCCTCAGCGACAGAAAATGATGGGGAGGAAGAAGGAAGTTGAGTGAGGGAGAGAGAGAGGGAGAAAGGAAAGGGAAAAGAGGGGAAGGAGAGAGAAAAGAATCTAATTTCAATAAGTGTTATAGATAGCAAGTGAAAATTGATCTTTTCCATCAGGAAATTAAATCTACAAAATAAAAATGCAAGTAAATTAAAAACTGTGTGGGTACAAAAGACAATGGTAAAATCAGCAGGATAAGTTCTGGGTAAGTCTTGCTATCCTTCATGAGAGAAGCAATGTGAGCCAAAACTTAAAGATGGGGTAGGACCTTGAAGAGCAAGTGAGGAAATAGGAGCAAAAAACTACCTCAGGCAGAACAACATATACTCATGTCATTACATGATATATTCTGAGAAAGCAACTAGTTCAAATATTACAGATTAAGCCAGGGAAATGAAGTGGATAAGGCAAGACAGATAAGCAGAAGTCAGATTATGAATAGCTGTGTAGTCAAAAGTTTTAGGTGTCATTATTCTGAAAGCAATAGGAAGCCATTAAAGATTTGTCTGTCTCTCTGTTTCAGGGTCTCACTCTGTAGCCCAGGCTGGCTTCAAACTCGGGCTCCTCCTGCCTTGGCCTCACTAGCACTGGAGTTACAAATATGCACTTGTACACCTAGTTTACCAATGACTTTTGAGCTAAGATGAAATGTGATAAGTCTGTGATTCAAAAAAAATCTGACAACAGTGTTCAGAATAGGTTAGAGGAAAATAAGAATAGTGAAAGAACTGGTGCATTAGTACCAGTACAAAACAGGTCTGAACCATGGAAGAGCAGTGGTAATTATATGTAAAAGGCATATCCTGGGAATTATTTAGTAATCAGATTCAACAGAAGTTGGTGATTAGTTAAATGCAGAGTTCAGGAGGAGGGAAGAATCATCCAACATGATTTCAAGGTTTAGAACTTCAGCGATATGGTAGAACTTTTTTGTTGTTGGTCTTTTTGAGATAGGGTCTCCCTATAGCTTCTGTTGGAACTCACTGTGTAGACCAGGCTGGCCTGGAACTCACAGAGATCCACCTGCATCTGCCTACTGAGTGCTGGGATTAAAGGCATGCACCACCACACCCAGCATGGTAGAACCTTTTACCGGCTAGAAAATACAAAACTGGAAGCAATTTTTGAGAGGAATATGTTGAGTTTGGTTAGGACACCCTGAGTTTGAACTGCCTATAAGGAATAAAATTAAAAATAACAAGTAGGTAAATATTTTTACTTTCCAATAAAAAGTTGGTCTAAACGTACAGATTTAGAAGTCAGATAATGTAGGGCAGGAGAGATGGCTCAGAGGTTCAGAGCAATGGCTGCTCTTGCAGAGGACCTATACTCAACAATTCCTAGCACCTACATGGCTGCTCACAACCATCTGTAACTCCAGTTCCAGGGATTCTGCTGTCCTCTCCTTCCCTCTATGGGCATTGCATGCACATTGTACACAAACGTATATGCAGGAAAAACAGTTTTATATACACATAAAAATCTTTAATTTTTTTTTCCTTTTGATCCCCAGCACTGTGACTCAAACCCAGGACTTTGTGCATTTTAGGCAAACACTGTACCACTGCGCTACATACCCAGCCCCAAGAATATTTTTGATTGGTTGCTGTTATAAATAATTTCAATTAGCAACTTAAGTGGATTATGAAATACCTAAAACATTAATGAAGCACACATTTGGGTCTCCAAAGGTATTTATAAGACAGATTTATTGAGGGGAGGAGATCACTCTGAACGTGGGCAGCAGGTACCATCCCATAGCCGGGGTTCCCAGGGGAAAGTCAGCAGAGCACCAGCATTCATCTCTTCCTGCTTCCTGACTGCAGACTGTGTGACCAGCCACCCACACTTCTGCTGCCAGGAGAAAACCCCTTGAAGATGTGTTTTGTCATTCCTGTTCTTCATATGAACAACAAAGACAGCTAGTAAACTATTAAGGCAAGGCTGAATAAGTATACATTTGAAAGGAAATAAAAATGAAATTTATCTGGGAATCAACTGAATCACATGCACTAGACCCTCTGTTTGATCCCTAACACCATTGATATAAGAACAGAAGTAGAAAAATGTTTGTTAAAAAATCAAAAATACTGGGCTACATAGACCCTATCTCAAAACGATAAATACAGATTATAAAAAGCATATTCTGAGCCAGGCGTGGTGGCACATGCCTTTAGTCCCAGCACTTGGGAGGCAGAGGCAGGCAGATCTCTGTAAGTTCAAGGCCAGCCTGCTACAAAGTGAGTTTCAGGCCAGCTGGGGCTACAGGGAGGCCCTGACTCAAAAAGACCAAAAAAAAAAAATTTTTGAGGAGATAGTTCAATCAGGATAGTGCTTACCATGCAAACACCAAGACCTGAGTTCAATCCCCAGAACCCATATTTAAAAAGTAGGGTGTGGTGGCTCTCACTTATAACTGGGGTGACAAAGAGGTAGATTCCTGGAACTCACTGGCCAGCCAGGCTAGCCTACTTGATGAGCTCAAGGCCAGTAAGAGACCCTGTCTTAAAAAAAAAAAAAAAAAAACAACCCTCGGTGTAGGCCAGCAAGATGGATTAGCAGGTAAATGTACTTGCCACCAAGCCTGACAACCAGAGTTCAATCCCTAGAACCTATATGGTAGAAGAAGAAAACTCCAGGTCGTCCTCTGATCTCCACGTGTGTGCTCACATACATATATACAAATACATATACACTAAAGTTTTTTTTTTAATGTGAGGCAGAATTGTCATTTTTTTTAAAGCCTAGCTAGATGACACCTGAAAAATGACACCTGAGATTGACTTCTGGCCTCCACACACACACACACACACACTCATGAACGCGCATGCACACATGCAGAAAAACAAGTCTAACTAAAAGAAATTGGAAGTTTAACACCCTGTGTTGCCAAGGATTTGGGGAACCAGGCACTATCCTGCACCTGGTGAAAGTAAATGGGTTAGAT